AAAACACCAATTTAATGTATTTTTTTACAATTCGTTTCTCACTCCAGAAAATTCAGCCAACTAATTTAGCCGACTCAACTGATGTACACTTTTATGTATTCGGCAACATTCCTCCCAGTTCTGCTATTAAGCTGGCATCATTTATTCCCTTAGTGTTATATTTAAATGCCGTGACGAGGTGAAGATCATCAAACGTGCTCTAAACTTACCAAAAAATAAGTCACGCTGTTTACCACATTAATTCATCACCAGATGTAAATCCACATGTACTCCAATTGTATACCCTTAAAGGTACAATTAAGGGTGTACAACCCAAAATCCACATTTCCTCCAACCTTCTTGACTATATTATACACCCTTTTGATTGGACCTTCAACTTCACCCCCTTCACTTTCTTTCTCTTGCTGCTCTTCTTGCTCTCCTCACACCCATTGCTCTTTTAGGAAAAACACAGACATGGATACTATCAATTCTTCCTTTCAAACTAGTTCCGGTGACGATGAGAGCACGTCAGATAACGCTGTGTACTCCTCCGTACCACACTTCGTTATCTTAACCATCAAAATGATTGTTATCGGTTTACTCCAAAGCACCCCAACAAAGGCTGAGATTCGTGATCCCACAGTCCTTTGCTTCTTGTCCTTCTGCCTCATCTATTTCGTCCTTCTCGTACAAGAAGCAAAGCTCAGACGAAACCAATCTCTCACTTACCACTTTGTTAGGAAGGCAAGTCATTTCTTTGGCGTAGCCGCGGTTAACATCCTCGTCTCGCTCATTTCTCCTATCTTCGCCCTCGTCGTTGCTATTATGTGTGTCTTTTGGTTCCTCTTCGTTACGTACTATACCAAGCACAACCAGAACGCTGAAACTGCTGTCAATCAATCTGATGATCCGATTCCTCCAGTCTAATCATATTATCCAAAAGAAAGAGGTATGATCTTTGTTTTTCCAGGCTATGCATGAAATCTACTCATATATGTCTTAAAATTTCCAATTTCGGACCTTCTTGATTTTGATCAGCTCGATCAAGTCAAATAATTTTATACCTTGTATATAGAAGCGTAACACGATCATTCATTATCAATACAACACAATCACAATTCACAGAGCGATCTTTGTTTTCATGATCTCTTTTCTATCGTAATAAAGCTCTTTGAGCTCATGAATCTATCTTATTTTAAGATATCTCCCATGTGTGATGTAATTTAAGGTGTTTGTAGAAAGTTTCCAAAAAAAAAAAATATAAATAAATTCTGTTCTTTGAGTCTCGTTTTCCTTATTTGTATCATCTCTTAGATTTTCTTGTTGCTAAAGGTTTAATACTCTGTACTTCTTTTAGTTATAGTTTACTCAAATGTATGTTATTTTAAGGTTGTTGAGTCGCTTTTTTCCCCTTCATTTTTCAATAAATTAAATTTA